TATTTATTTATTTATTATTGTATTTTATTTTATTTAAGTACCAGAAAAACCCCACTGGTTCCTTTGTCTGGCTCAGCCATGGAAAATGCAAGGGAGAGATCGATACTGTGGTGCAGGAATAGTTTTTATATTCCTATTCTGGATAGAAGAGGGAAGTTAGAGCCTCTGTGTGTCTTGCTGGGGACTGCCTTACAAAACAAACCTTCAAAGAAGAAAGGCTCACATACTGTCATGCTGAATGGATTCCTTCAAAGATTTCTTTAAAGGAACACTAAATTACATGTACCATGCAGTAAAAATTCAGCACTTCTCTCTCTTAAATTTCAGATTCTTCTTGGAGTTCTGATCAAACAGATCTTTTTTTTCCCTTCAGTTTAAACACTGGTTAAGTACTTCATGTTCATGTTATAAAATTCAAATAATTAAACCATCTTCGTGACAGCAAGCACAAAGAACTTTGTTCTTTATAATACAAATAACTTCTCCCACCCTCCAAATAAGCAAGGTGTCTTTTACTGCCACATACATTACTATCCAACTTTCCAAGATCAAGCAAAATCTTGCGTCTTGGGTAGAAGTGAAGCTCAGAACAGAAAAGGTTTGAGACCAGATGAAAACAGTGGAATAGAAATGTATTTGCAGGCTGAACAGTGAGTTACATCTCATGGAATTGCATGAAGTCTTAATTTGGAATTTTTCTTCCCATGTGATCCAGATTTTAATATTAATATGTAATTTCAGTAGGCAGGGAATTGTGTTCCAGTTTAAATTCCTTACTTCATCAAAAGAGCTTGCAAAATATTGAGCTATTTTCCTAATAAAAGTATTTAGCTGCTTTATTAGTATATGCCCATTTTTCAGTAGACGGAAGTAATTTCGGTTCATAGGTGGATCAGAATTGCATTCATATATGTTGACTATAAAAGGTCAGGAGACTAATATGACCTTGCTTTATTATTATTAATGCTTTAAAATGTTCCCTTAAAATAGTTTTCCTTCCATGCTGTCTTCCAAGATTAAAGGTGTAAAAGTGTCTAATACATTTGTTAATTTTGGATTGGTTTACTATATTTCATTTTCTGTGGAGAGAAGACTGTCACATCTCTTTTAATTCTTTCTTCATTTTAGAGTAAAATTGTTAGAGTGCTAAATTTGTGGCAGAAGAATAATGTGTTCAAGAGTGAAATTATTCTTCCTTCCATGCTGTCTTCCAAGATTAAAGGTGTAAAAGTGTCTAATACATTTGTTAATTTTGGATTGGTTTACTATATTTCATTTTCTGTGGAGAGAAGACTGTCACATCTCTTTTAATTCTTTCTTCATTTTAGAGTAAAATTGTTAGAGTGCTAAATTTGTGGCAGAAGAATAATGTGTTCAAGAGTGAAATTATTCAGCCTCTCTTTTTTTTTATTCCTCCTCCAGTTGTGACCCCCGTCTTGCCAAGCACTACAGCTGCTATGAGCAACAATACACCAGGTAAACAAAACCGGCTTAAAGTCATATTTGGAATCAAAACACTCGTGTCAGCTTTGGTATGTTGGTGGTTAACATGCTGAAAAATTCTCACTGGATTCCTTTAAACAAATCAAATGAATGCTAGAAAGAAATACATTATAGTCAGTGTCCAGCTCATCGTAACAGCAAAACCAAGAGGCTCCCTGTTGTGTTTACTTTCCAACTGTGTATTATAAATATATTTAGATTAACAGTGCAGTAAGACCCAGTTTTGCGCTCAAAGTCAAAACAGCAGATCAGTGACAGAGATAACACAGCACTTAATTCAATCTTTTTACATCAGTGGTGCCATAGTTCAGAGAAAAGATACATCAGTATCTTTTTCCTGTCCATAGGATTGATCTTGCTGGATCATGTCCGACAGCAGTCCTTTACATTTGCTGGCTGATGGGCAATGATTTTAAGGGTGGGGGGGAAACCCATACAGACAAATATAAGCTGCAGCCAGTGGCATATTTCCTTCTCCCTCAAACCTAGAAATCATGCTGGAGAATCTTGTGGACAAAAAACTGCTCATGGAGCACTTCCCAGGTTAACAAACACTAATGTTGCTATACATGCAGACTTGATAATTTTGTGCTCTAAAAAGCATCTTCCTTATTTATATAGGTAGGTTGCAGGGAACTGGCTTTTCACCTTTTTTCATTTTGTGGAGTTTTTTTTAATTTGATTGGGATGTATGGGAAATTTTACATACAGAAACTGGGTTTTGGTACATATGGACATGCTTTTGTCACCCACCTTTTGCTGATCCTGTGCTGAAAAACAGTGAGGTGGGCAAATCCAACTTATTTTTCACTGTTGTCTGTAAACATGTAAAAGTTCCAGATCTTGGATTGGACTTACTGTATCTTCTAGCTCAATATTTTTTTGGCTCCATTAGTTTGCTTTCTTTAAATTGTTGAAACTACAGCTTTACTCCAATACTTTTTTTTTTTAATTGTGATGCAAATTGTCTTTTAAAACAGTGATCTATTTATTTACATTTAGCATATGTCTCCTTCAGAGCTAAAAGCAGGAATATTTTCAGGGTTGGAGGAATCTTCTCGATTACGGCATGGAACTGACTATCAGATTGCTGATTGAATCCCAATGTTCCTCTTGGGTGGGGGTGGGAGTGGTGGAAGTGCTCATGAATCCAGGTGCTGCAGGTTGAAATTCTTAGTAGAATCCTTAAGGCTCCTCCTGGGGATGAAGTGCAAGTCCAGTAAATTCTGGACTAGCAAACATATCTGAGTCAATTACTCACAATTATCATTTAGTATATATTGTCTTCACTAAACGGTTTGGATTACTGTATGAAACCCGTTTCTTTTGCATCTGTCAGTGTTTTTGTTAGTAGTTACCATAGGTCAGTAGTGGAAAAAGCTGTGAACTACAGTTACAGAAAGTACTCCTGCTACTCGAGGAATGTTGATGTGAGTCTGTGTTATTTCTGTGCGCTTTATGCGCGTCTCAGAAAAATCGTTTCAATTGATACTAATACAGTGCTTTCCCAGTATTCAATACCTGGTTTTCATGTCCTAGGAAGATATTACTATCTTTATAATTTGATTTCTTGCAACGCAGAAATCTTTACAGTAGAAAATAAGCAGGAAGTGTTTGTGTCTGGTTTATAATTTTTTTACAGCTTCTTTCTTTTCTTTTTTTTTCCTTCTCTAACACTATTTCTAATTTTGTATGTTAAAATATTTTGGCATATTGGATTTTCTCCTTTTTTAGGAACACCTGTGACGCCAGTTACTCCAGCCAATGTGGTGCAGAGTTTACCTGATCCTTGGGTGTCTCAGATTGCTAATACAGATACCCTTGCTGCTGTTGCACAGATTTTACAGAGTCCTCAGGGCCAGCAGGTAAATATTTTGTAGACAGTTACACTGTGCATTGTTTGATACTTTGTGTCTTTAAGGTAGACTTAGGAGTACCTTCCATGAGTATCTCTTTAGTTTTGTGTCCAGTATGCACGTTAACTATCCCGTGAGGTTGTTCATCACAAGTAAGTTCCAGGTAAATTAAAACTTCCTGTTACCTTTTGTAACCAATGCTGTTTGTTCCTTAAAAGTATCACAGAATGTGACTTTAGGCAAGATGGTCTGTAATACATACTTTTCCTTATACTATTGCAGATGACGAAATTAAGAGCAGCATTAAGATTTCATGGTTATAGCTATAAAATAGAATGCCAATTTAAACATATTTCTTTGCTGGATGCCCCCAGAAGCTAAACATTATACAGAATTACATAATGGGAAGGTACTTGTTCTGGAAGTGTGTTGATTCTTTTCTTTATGTTTCACATCATCAGAAGGTAACTCTAAAACAATCTTGGAAAAGGATCATACATCTTTGATGCATTATGGAAAAGATCAACTTCATCAGCTTATGCAGAGTTTCTAGTGAGCCCTAGTAAGAAGAGAGAGATTGAACCCTGTAAGAGTTCTGTGGTGAACCCCATGAGGAGGTGGCATAAGAATATGAAGATAATCAGGGACTTAACGTCAGCATAGTTTGAACTACCTGGATTTGCTGAACCTTTTTTCCAGAAAGGATCCAGGGGTTTACCTCCTAGAAGGTCAAAGGACTGCTTCCTCTAATCCCATGGTGCTTTAGGAGAGCTTCTTTCCATAGGCATAGTATTTTTGCTTTTTCTGTTGAGGTAATCTGTATAGTTTTTTGGGAGGAGCCTCTGTATTTGGCAGATGAATAGGTCTGCACATGAAAAAGCCTCTTATTTCTCCCCTGCGACAGCTCCTTTACAAAAAAAAACCAAAAAAAATCCAGATCGGAAGTTTGGAGTAAGGAAATCAAGATACACCAGGTGATTTGATTATGAATTTGTTCTTGAAAAACTATGGAAGATATTATATTTTTCTATATTTTCCTTCTCTAGATTTGAAGGTAGAGACTCTTAGGGTGTCCTGATATACTCTGCTGAAATGTCTTAGGTCCATTCACTACGCTTCTGAAAGTTCTTTCTCTGATAATACTTAGTACTCATTCCAGTATAATCCTAGACCTCTCCTAGGTTGCTAGTGGAATTGTTTAAACAAATAAACCACCCCAACCACCACACCACTCCCCAAAACTGTTTTTAAATAATATTTGAAACACCAAACAATATTTTTAAATAATATTTTCTGAGATCTGTCTTTTGGCATTACTCATACTTTGTTTTTACTGTAACATACTTTGTTGTTACTGTACGCCTGTTGCCCCAGAGCTGCTGCTTCTAGTTCAGTGTTGCATCTCAGCAGTTTATATCCTGAGATGGTGCTATACACAGCCCAGTGTCTGTGCTATTGCAGGAGGTCAAACTGTATTCCCAGTTGCTAGTTAATTTGTTTTTATGTTTTGTTAACACAGCAAGGGAATTGCATTCTGTCAGTGCAAACCTCAGTTTCAGCATGAGGTTTTCCTTGTGACTATTCCAGAGATGCTAGTGCAAGCTCTTCACATAGACATGCTGTATCAGCTTCAAGTGGAGCTTGCAACAGTGCAGTTGCTTCCTCTACACAAAGGTTGTTAGAGCATACAGATTTTCCTACTATAGGTGGGCCCTTTGGAAGCTGGAGTAGGCTAACAGATGTTTTACAGCTCATAAGGAATCAAACTAGAGAAACAGAAGAGGGGGAACCCTAGAAAACAGGAAATCCTGAGTATTGACTGGTCATCATGCAACCTGTCAGAGCAAGTTAGGAGGAAGAAGCATCTGCATGTCTTAGCAGCCCCAGAAAACAACTTAGCCAGTAAGTGGGAACAAAATTGCTGTACATGAAAACAATGAAGGTGAAATAATAGCCATAGGTTAGATGGTACTGCATACCTGAAGGTTTTATTTTTCCCTAATTGGGAGGGGAAAAGACTACTTTGTTTCTTGTTATTTTTTCTTTTAAAAAATATTTTCGTGTTCAATGCATGTGTTGTCTTTTTTAGCTTCAGCAGTTGATACAGACACTGCAGATACAGCAGCAGAAACCTCAGCCTTCCCTACTTCAAGCCCTGGATGCTGGTCTTGTCGTTCAGTTACAGGCCCTCACAGCACAACTTACAGCTGCAGCTGCTGCTGCTAACACACTTAACCCACTGGACCAGAGTGTCTCTTTTAATAAGGTAGAAGTAGAAGTTTGAAGAAATATTTATTGTTAAAATATATGTAAGTGAAAGAGTCTTCTTTTGGATTTTAATCTTTGACTTTAGAGATTTTTAAAGTGCTTTATCTTTAAAGTTTAAAAAAATGTCTAGAGAGAGTAGTATAAATGAAAATACTAGCTTTATATGAGTTTAGGGCTAAATGGTATTTCATAGTCTCTCAAGTTGGAAGAGACCCACAAGGGTCATTGAGTGTGAAGATGGATCTGATTTGGCAAGGTTAAGCCATTGTTATGTTTTTCTTCACCCTTTGTAACACAGCAGTGAGAATTGAGCATGTCTTGTATTTCCCCTTTCTGTGGCTATGATCTGAACTAGGAAATGAGTTCTTAATGGTAATGAAATCTTGTTCCATTATCTTTGGAAGAAACATCTTGGGAGTAGATAATCTCTGTAGGATTGTCCTGGAGTGAATAAATCATATGAGTAAGGAAGTCAGAGAAGCAAAACCCCTTGTTTTTCTAACTCAGATAATCTCTTTTTCAGGCCATTAGCTGTTCAGAACTTGACAAGTGCTCAGTTTAATGTTTTAGGGAAATTTATCTTATTTCTAGAATTTGTTCAGCTAAACTCAGTCCTTGAAATTAGAGAGAGTTGTCATTACTAATGAAAGTAATGCAGCTGTAAAAATAAGTCGGGGAAAAAAAGTGGCCTGTACTAATGCTGTACCACAGCTGTAACCATCAACTCGAGTAGGGTATAACACAGGGAATGAATGCATCCCTCGATAGGGACTACCTTAATATTTGGATACAAAAAGTAATTAAGAATATGGCCTTGTCTTGTGTTTTATTCCCTAGACTTCAATTCCAGCATTTATGTGGATAGGTGTACTCATAGGTGTGGCTGTTGTGAATGTTGGACAACTTAACTGGAGCAAATTGAAGGAATTGGCGTTTTGATGAGATGTTTTTATAGCTTCAGCGAGTTCAGCCTGATGATCTTTAGTTAGTTTATGCCAGTAATAGTATGCAAGAGTCTTGTCATAAAAGCTATCAGCAAAGTGAGTGTACATGATTGTGATTTCTGGGATTACCCTTGAAGGTAAGCGTTGTGGAAGGAATTCTTGTGGTAGTGTGGTAATTTACAAGCTTTCAGGAGGTATGATTTGTTCCATACTTTGTCACAAGTGTTGATTTGTTCTTGTAAGCTGTGGGAGAGTTTTTGGTTCAGCATTATACTACTAGTGTTAGATTATAGTACATCTCAAGCTCCTTGTTCAGTGTTCTGTAGCTTCTCTATGAATGAACTTATGATCTGTGTCTTGTTACTCCCTTGATTCTTCTACTCAAAAGTTGTTTAGGCTGCTTTGCCGAAATGGCATGTTGTTTTAGAATTTCCTCATTTATTAATAGAATATTGGCGCTACCGTATCTATTTTCTCCTTCTTTTGCTTTGAGGATTTCTGAATCTGGGTATTATAGAAGAGTGCAGATTAACATACATGTATGTGGTGGTTGAATGCCAGCTGGCAACTAAGCACCACACAGCCTCTCACTCATTCTATCCTCTTCTCTAGTGGGAAGAGGGAGAGAATCAGAAGAGTAAAAGTGAGAAAACTCATGGGTTGAGATAAAGACAGCTTAATAGCTAAAGCAAAAGCTGAGCATGCAAGCAAAGCAAACAGGGAATTCATTCACCTCATCCTGTCATCAGGCAATTGTTTAGCCATCTCCAGGAAAGCAGGGCTCCATCACCCATAACGGTTACTTGGGAAGACTGACACCATCACTCTGAATGTCCGCCCTTTCTCCTTCTTCCTCCAGCTTTATATGCTGAACATGACATCATATGGTATGGAATATCCCTTTGGTCTGTTGGGGTCAGCTGTCCCGGCTGTGTCCTCTCCCAGCCTCCTGTGCACTCCCAGCCCACTCGCTGGTGGGGTGGTCTAAGAGGCAGAAAAGGCCTTGACTCTGTGTAAGCGCTGCCCAGCAGCAATGAAAGCATCCCTGTATTATCAACACTGCTTCCAGCACAAATCCAAAACACAACTTCATGCCAGCTACTGTGAAGAGAATTAACTCTATCCCAACCAAAACCAGCACAATGTATTAATGGGCAATCTTATTTTTTCAATGATAAGTTTTGGGGATAATAATTTTCCTTGCTTTTTTTAATGGTTTCTCAGCACCAATGTCACCTGCCACGTGAATGCCACTTCTCAATAACTGAAGGCATGAGTCATGATAGTCTATTTGACTCTTTACTTCCACTTTATTATATAATTAATAGTATAATTTTTTTAACTCTACATGCCAGCCTTAATAAACGAAGTTTTAAAAAGGCAGTATTTACTTTGATAGGAAGTGTCGACATCAGTGTTTTAAGTTGGAATCAGGAGTATGCTTTTGAGGTGAAACTTTTGATTGTTTACATATACTGTGCATTGTTCCACATTGCAGAGCAGTCTTGAATGCATAAGTAAATTAATTTGGATTAAGCTAAAGCGAAAGATGTGCTGCAAATGCTAATGAGCACTCAGCCAACAGGGCCAACCTGGAGCTGCTTCAAAGGGACTAGTAACAAACAAATAGCATGCCCATGTAAAATAAAAACTAGAAACCAGATGTTTTCTTAGGAGGAAAGGTTTTGGGAATGTTTTGCTTCCTGACAGCAAATCTAGATCTTCTCTTTTCCATTAGCAAAGCAGCAAGGAGATGTTGAGAAACCAGGTACATTCTGTCATGTGCATCACTTGGGGGATCTGGCTCAGCAATGGATTCCAGCCCAAAGCCCTGTTGTAACACGCACAAAGGTGTCGCTGCTGCTCATCTTCAGTGGGGAAGAGCAGAGTGAACTCTGCTGTGACAGTAAGACTGAAATTTTAACCCAGCAGTATTAGGAAGCGGGTAAACAAGCAGCTGGGATTTCATACTGTCCGGTATCCCACCGTTTCCATCGGCTCCCATCTTTATGTAAGAAAATAAGCATACTTGTTAACAACTTACAACAATGGAGCTTGAGCCAACAGAATGACCTGGCAGCAGAGAGGACCAACAACATCCTGGGCTGTGTGACCAGGAGCAGGACCAGGTGATTGATGGAAATGATCATTCCATGTAGACATTTCATCTGCTGTAGGCTGCATGTAGAGCATCACATCCAATTTTTGCTGCTTCCACCCCTATTCAGGAACAACATTTACAAACTGGAGTGAGTTTAGTGGAGAACCGCTAGAATGGCCAGGGCTGGAGCATTGGAGCTGGTTAAGCCTGGGGCAAAGGCAGTGTTGGAGGAGACCTAACCAGCACCTATGGGAAGGTCAGCAAGAAGATGAAGCCAGGCTCTTTGCAGCATGGCATAGTGGCAGCATTATAGACAATGGACAGAAATTGAAAGGGAAGGGTTCAGAATGGATATAAGGAAGACGTTTTTTCCCATGAGGACAGTCAAGCCCTGGAATAGGTTGCTTGGAAAGTTGCAGTCTCTGTTGTTAAAACAAAGACATTTCTAAGACTCAGCTGTATAAAGTCCCAAGTAACCTGACCTGAGCTCACAGCTGAGCTTGGTGTGAGCAGAAAGTTGGACTGAAACCGACTGAGATCCCTTTCAACCTGGACTGTCCTGTGATCCTAGGATTTATGAGGAACTGGGCAGAAGAGATACTGTTATCTAGTGGAAATTGATGAAGTATTCTTAACTGAGCTACAGTGACCAATCCTGGCCATGTTAAATAAGATGCAGCAGCAAAATTAGAGAATCTAGCAATTCCTGAAAGCAATAATTAAAAATACTGAATAGTTTCTGTAGAAGGTCCTGAACAGACTTGTGATGGAGTTTAGAGAATAGGGGATGGGGCCATGATGTGAATATAGACATACTTACATGTTTGAAGACCATGTCTAAAAGGCTAGTGTTCTCAGTTGGGAGACATGAAAAAAACCAACAGCTTTTATGATATATAAACAGTAAGCACAGTGATCCAAAGAAAACTGTGAAACTTAGTGCTCATTCCATGATATAATGTTGGTGAATTGGATAACAAATAGAAATAGTGTAGGAAAATATTTCTAATGAATACATAAGTACCCATATGTTAGGGATTTTAGCGATTTTAAAAATGTGGTGGTTCTTCCAACCCTTTGTTTTCAAGCTCTTCAGTCTTCGTAGTATTTTATGGTAATAATTTGTGCAAATTAACAAGCATTACATGAAAAATTCCTTTCTTTTGTCGACATCAAATGTGGGTTTTTTTCCTAATCTTGCTGGATGACTACAACTTTGTGTTATGCTAAAGAAAGATTGTTTCTTTTTTTTAATCTACATTTCCTATGCATTCATGTCCCATTATTTTGTTTTAATTTCTAAAGAGAATATCCTGATCCTTAAGAAGAACTTTGTGTCCTTTGGAATAAAAAGCTTTTCTTCATGTCTTTAATTGTTCCCTTTGCTTTACTGAGCATATTGCTTCTTGGGTAAAGTAACAGTTGTAGCATTCATGGGAAGTTCTGTACTTTCATATGCATATGTGTGGTGGGTTAACCTAGGTATCCTAATATTTAATTTATTTTAGTTTCTATTAGCTTATTATAGAGAGTGTTCTGCTACAGTTTATTTAAAAATCAGGACATTTCAGTTCAGGTTTTTCCCTTTAATATCTAGTGTGCCATTAAAAAGAAAAAAATAATCAAAAATCATGCTGCATATTTTCCTATCTTGGCTGGAAATTATTTGATTTTCTCTGGCCCCAGTTTAACTATGTAATTTTTGGTATATTGTAAAATGTTGACTATTTTCCATGTGTTGCTTTTCTCTCATGATTAAATAGTACACATTCTTTTGTCTTCCTTTCTACTTTGTCATGATGGAGGATACATGATGATTAATAATATTTTAAAGATGAGGCAGGTTGTTCTTCTAAAATGTGTATTTTTTCACAGCAGCAGTGTTTGGCAAGTGCTTTACTTGAAAATAGTCTAACAATATGAAGAAAAGAAAAAAGAGGCCACCTTGCTTTAAATGGATTAGATATATATGGTGAAAGATAATTCTTGATTTAGCATCTCATCTCACAGAAGCTTGATGGTCTGTGTTTCTGCTCTGTTTTCTGAGATATGTATTCAGTCCTTCTTTCATATACATTAGATTATTTCATTGGAAAAATAGTTCTAATAATTCTTGAGTGATCAGTCTATTAGCTTATGTTTTGTCCTTCTTGCTGGACTCCAGTAATTGAGAGTAAATACTGCATCCTGAGAAAGAAAATGGGCTGCTGAATTGTCGTGGCTTATTGCTGGAGATGTTTTTGCCTTGCTACTTCAAAATGACTGCTCTATGTTCTCCTACTCTTGTTTTTTTTTAATTCTGAGGCCAGGGTTTACAGTGGTTTCTAGTACTGGGTTAACTGCTTCTCAGAAAGCTTCCAAGGTGTACAGATGCAAGGGCCTGGGTTTGATAGCACTGCTCTGTCAGTGCGTGATTGCTGAAATAGACAATCTTTGTTGTATTTCTTCATGCCTGTTCTTTAATTTTGTCTTCAAGAAAGTAAATAAAATGCGGCTGAAAAGCTTCTGGACTGTTTAAACAAACTTTTTTTGTTCAGCAGAACTACAGCATAGACATTTTTACAGATAAAACAGGAAGCTTATCCAGATTTTAGTTTTTCCCTGTCAGATACCTTTCTTTTTATCCCTCTGCAGGCTTATTCCTCTTACGTGATAACTACTTGCTTTGATTTTTTTTTTTTTGGCAGACCATGTGAGAAGTTGTTTTCAAGGAGCAGTATATTTGTAGGGATTGAGGTTGTCTAATTTATGACGTTTGTGTGAAAACACAGTAATTCTTTGTGAAGTAAGCTGTAGGTCTTCTCTTGATACGAGCAGAACAGTTTGTGATTGCCAAAGGATTGAATGGCTGGCCTCTTCATAGCAATTTTGTCTAATTAAAAGTACCATTGTATAAAATTAATTTTTATTTAAGCCTTCCTCCAAACTAGCTGTTATTTACCACGGAAAGAACAGGGGGTTGTATTTGTGACATCAGTCAGAGCTCAAGAAAGCCATGGACAGAATTTGGCATTTGATGCATTCAAGAGTTTAGGTAGCAATAGCAGTATGACAATTAATTTTCTATTCAGATTATTTGTCTAACTTTTTAAAGTTGAGAAATGAGAGCGTTTTTCTTTCGAAAAGTAAATGTATGTAAAGGGACATATAAGGAATACTCAGTTATGCTTATTTTGCTTTCTCCTAGAAGCTGATGGACAGGTTTGACTTTGGGGAAGAATCTGAACAAAACGAAGAGCCTAAAAAGGAAACGCCCACTTCCCAACTGTAAGATCAAGCTATGTTTCTTATGGAAAATGCTAAAATTTGCCTGGCACTAGTTGAATATTAGGATTAAATAGAAATAAAAAATTTGTTTCTTCCAGAGCATAAGTATACTAAAGTGGTAGGAAAAGAAAGTTTACTAAATTAATGTAACACACGTGTTTTAAAAATATTGACCCTAAGTCTGTGTGCCAGAAGTTTTGTTGACTTAAAGTTAGCATGTTCCTTGCTTTGTTAGTTACATGGCGTTATCGCGACAGCGGTGGTAACAAAAGGTGGAACTAGCTACACTGTCTTTGTTATTTTACGTTTTTAGTTAAGCTCAGAACTCAGTTGTGAAGACCTGCTTACCAGCTGGTTTTTATATTATTTCATTTTAGGCCTCTAGTACCAGAATCTGTGAACAACTCACTTTTTCATCAACTAGCTGAGCAGCTACAGCAACAAAATTTAGAACATCTCAGACAACAGCTTCTGGAGCAACAGCAGCCTCAAAAGGTAAGAACTCCACCTTGTGGCTGACAAAATAATTATGTTCTCCACTGATAAAAAATTCATACTCTACCTCAGGAAAAAAACATTGTCTTGTTACTGACACTTCCGTTATAATGAACGCCTTTGTCACTGGCTGATCATCTAACAGAAACTTGCTTATGAGCAGAATAGGCAGAAGAAAGTGCTTAAAGCAGGAAAAAAAAAACCCAACGCAACAACAACCGAATTTGTGGGGTGTGCGTTCTGCTTCTCTTGAGTACCCTTTAGCTGAGTTACAGGCTGACTGTGCTTCGGTTGTTCAGCTCTTTTTAAGGGGGGAAAAAAGCTTTTGCCCTGCTGCCAGAAAGAACATGAGCATGAAGTGGTTATGCTCCTGTCTGTGAAGGGAGAGCAGCCTGCAAGCTGCTGCCACAGAACCATCAAGAAGACAGCATAGGGACTGTGGATAACTTTAATTTCCCCTACCAAGCTTTAAGTCTTGGCTAATAATTGTGTTATTTTGTCGAAGAATCTGAGCTAAAGAACAGTCATGTTTTTCCTGACAAATGATTAATTAAGAACTGATGCTAAAGACAACACAAGATTCCTTCTTAACTATGTGAATTGAGTCCTCTCTGCATTGAAGTAAATTGACCTATTTCTTCTGAGGTTAGTCCTTGGTATTTAGCTGCTCTTTTCCCTTCTTGATCCCAATCTCTGGTCCCATTAGGAAAAAAAAAAACCCACACAAGTTTATTCTGTCTTGATACTTGGTATAAAGTGGACTTTCTGTGAAGTATTAGGATCTAGTTTCACAGTGAAATAAAAATCTCATATTGAAAGAAAATCTAAGGGACCACAGACTGAAGAAACATCTGTTGGGGATTTTAGTTTAACCTGTGCAAAGGTGCAGTTGCTCAGGTTTCAATCAAGAACGTCATTTGAGTTTTGAATTTGTGTTTTTGATTTTTGAAAAAATGGTAATTCAACTTCTACTGGATCTTGTTTTCTTATTCTACTTTTTTATTTTACTATGTTTTATTTTAATTTCTCATTGAAGTGCAATGACTGAGAAAGGTTGTGCAACAGCCGCAGACTACTCACTTTTTGATGTTAGTGGATAACTAGCAATTTCTGGCTTTAAACACTAAAAATGTTGTAAAGGAATATAACTGAAGAGTGCCTCTGGTTTAGGAGCTTTTGATGTGGTGTATCGAAAAGTAACTATCTAATTTAGAAATAAAAATGCAGAAGGCCTATCTCATTGTAAAATAAGCATAATTAGAGTTTAATTTATTTTTATCTATGAAATTTAGTTACAGTACGTTTATGGGTCGAATGTTCATATGACTCACCCCTTATTATTTGATCTTTTAGTCCAAGTGCTCTTCCAGAAGTTGTTTCCCTGCAGGTCTGCTCAGCTTCTCGTCTAGTATGTACAGATAGGAAGTTTTATTTTCAGCTTGCTAACAGCTAAAAGATACAAACTTCTTCTGGAACTACTCTGTAATGACTGCAGCAAGTTATGAAGATCATTTTATTTCATTCATGTTTAAGTGTCAGTGAGAAAGATTAAGGAAAAGAGAAGGAAAGATAAAACACAAAACAAAATTACTAAGCATCTGATTAGGAGCAGAGGGAGAGGAAGAGAGGGTAGAAGACAGAGACAGAAAGAGCAACAACAAATGTCGGCATTGATACCAAGAAACATTGTTGAAGAATAATAAAATAAAAGGAAAATGAGACAAACATAACGTTAGAAGGAAAATGCATTAACTGAACTACAGTAGAATTTTTTATTCTTCTGAAAGCTGTCATTATAAACTATTTAAAAATAGGAAGATGAAACAAAAAAACCCCTTTGTACTACATACCATTCTGCTAAATTTCTACCATTCTCCTGGCAGATAGAATATATAACATTTGTTTAATTCAAATGAGAATGTAATAAGGATCACTGAAATGTTTACAGCACTATTGGATTATAGGTTTAAAATTACTTTTTTCAAAATTGTCCTGCTAGCATTTTTGAGTATTTTCACTTCATTTCCTGTGTTTCTTGAATTTCTTTCATATCTTCCAAATATTTATTCCAAATATTATTTATTGCAAATATTTATTCCAATTTATTCCAAATCTGTACTTTAAGTCCAATGTACAGGCCATTATCATTTTTTCTCCAGCAAACCAACAATGCATTTAGTATTTTACAGTTTTTAATTTTGGATTTTTTTTCGGAACTGCTTGTTTAGTTAGGTCTCATAATTGACACACTGAGATTAATGACACTACACCCTCCCTTATCTTCTAGTAATTACTTGACTTGAATCACACACTCCAAGAAAGTTTGGAGTTAAATGTAAATTTTTTTTGACTAATTCAATTGGTGTTGTATTTTTTTGGTTATATTAATAACAGAACATGATTTATTCATGTATGTGCATAGGAGACACGGGTATCTGTCACTGTATGTATGCCTGCCATCACTATTGTTTGTCCTGCAAGTTTTTGTTTTCAGGCCAGCCAAATTAAGGAACAAATAGTGTAATTTTTTTTTTTTTATTATTCAGCAAATAGATAGTAGTCAGGAACATGAATTATTTCTAAGTTTTCTACTTAAGGATGATCCTAAAAAAGGAATGGAATGGAGTAACATCTAGTTCAGCTTTCACATTAATGGGAAGTGGGGAAATAATACCTCTGAAAAACTATTTATCAGTTGTTTCATTTTGACACAGTAAGCATTTTAAATTAGGAGGCTTTTTATGATATATTATTATTTGTTATTTAGGCAAGCCCTGAGGAGAATCAAGAAGGAAATTTTGGTTCAGAGCACTCTGCCTCACCATCACAAGGGAGTAGTCAGCAGCAGTTTTTAGAAGTGGAAACAAATGTGGATGATTCAATGGATATTCAACAACAGGTAAAACTATTTTAAATTTGATTACACAACTTGAAATCAAAACACATAATTGGATGATTCAAAATGGATGATACTTATGTGCGCTTTCATGTAGTCATGTATGTTGTGAGTATGTTTATTAAATGTTCCTGAACATCTGTTATGTCTGACCTCAGGACATGGACATAGATGAAGGGCAGGATGTTGCTGAAGAAGAGATCTTTGAACAAGAAGAAAAGAAATCAGCTGTTCGTTCAAGATCAAGAACTCGCTCAAGATCTCGTTCAAGGTTTCAGAATTAACTTGCATTAAGTAAACTAAGGTTTTCTGAAACAAAGCTGCAATTTGTAATTATCACACTCAGTTCTGTATTTTCCAAATTTGTAATGAGACGTTTTTGCCAAGGAGAAAGAAGTCTGTTAATATTTGTGTGTTAGCTGCAGACTTTCTGTATGACTGGACGTTTTGCATATCTCTGTGGTCTGCTTTACACTGACAGCTGGTCAGGTTTTCTGTGCCAGTAAAACAGCTACTGTTATGAACGTCTTTGAATGTGCTTTGTTTTGTTTTAATCTTAAGGTGTTGTATGCTCTTCTGTTCCTCACACTAATGGCATTAAGTTTATTTTCTGAACTAGTTTGAGTGACTATAATGCAAGTGTCTGTATCATGCTTGAAGTTTGTAGTTGAAGATGACTAAATTAGAAATGTATTTTTTTTTTAACTCAGCATACTGAAATTAAGTATTTTGTAGGTCACCAAGAAAACGAAGGTCTAGGTCACGTTCCGGTTCTCGTAAGCGTAAACACAGAAAACGTTCACGCTCGAGATCAAGAGAAAGGAAGAGAAAATCATCTCGGTCATATTCCAGTGAAAGAAGGGCTAGGGAAAGGGAAAAAGAACGTCAGAAAAAGGGATTGCCTCCTATACGGTCAAAAACACTAAGTGGTAAGTGCCAGCTGCTTACTGTTTTAATAATGTAGGCTTAGAGGGAAAAAAGGCTTTGTTTTATAAAGAAAGGACAAGATTCAGCTTGAGTACTGTTGCAAAGTACAGTAACCGCAATCTTTTTTGGAAGTTAAATTTCTGATGTTTCTAACAGCTTAGGTACATCGTCTTACCGTAGAGGAAAGCAAGTATCATACTGTTCTATTGGTGATTTTACTCATACTGTTGCACCACTGGTTTTACATCTGAAGAGACTGTAGCGAGAGTTGTCCCTAAGTTACAGTTTGGCTTCTCTTTAACGGGGCATTTGAAGATGACCAGCATTTGATCTGACAGTTGGTATGCTGGCAACACACTTCTTAAGTATGTGGCACACACTTTGGACACTTGGCACAACAGTGCATGACACTGTCTTCAATAGAGGCCAATTTTGTTAAACTTTCAGAGTGCTTTTTAAATAGCTTTTCACAAGAACATAGAGTCAAAGCATCTAGAAATGCGAAACAAGTAATTTGCTATCATAAGACAGACCATAATTGTCATATCTTAAGAAAGTATCCAAAAACCAACGGGATTTCAGCTTCTGCAAAGTGCCGCTATGCGCTGCTGTCATTTCCACAGAGAATTTGCATGCTGAAAAGAAGGAAGTAGCAGGGAGAAGGAGAACTTTATCCACACAGTTGCTTAAATCAAAGGGACTGTGTTTTGAGATGAGTGCTAGAAACGGTGAAATTGGGTGTAGTCATCTGCCTCTGAACGAGTATATCCCATTGCTGCTGTTAGCAGGGCCCTGGATTCTTGGGGTGCATAATTGTACTTGTTTGGATACAAGGATTTTTTTGTAATGGACTTCCGTTCCTGAATTTAACTCTGTTTGGATAGTTAATGCACAGTTTCTGATGCAGTTTTGCATTTATTTTATGTTTTAGAATGATATCATTTATCTGGCATGTTCAGCAGTTCAAAATTCATTTTTGCAAAGGAAAGAGTTTTCTCTTCACAGTAATATTTTGCGTCATTCCAAGGTGGCTTTAAACTCAGGAATATTTTTTTCTTCTCTGGCTTTTCACATGGAAAGAGGCAAATCAGTTTTATGGTGTAGCCCACAAAACAGGGAGCTCTAATCACAATGGATGGGAATGGGGAGGCAGGGATGTTAAATAACCCGATGAAAAGCAGCAGCGATTGAGGTCCTGTGCAGTGACCGAGCTCATGGGAAGGAGGTATTAAGAAGACTAAGTGAAGGGTGGATACTTTCGTTTTTGGGGGGTAGGTAGGTAGGTAATTGACCTGACAAAGCATTTTATTTCATGAAATTTCTTCAGCCAATGCTATCACCTGATGAGGTCTGAAGAATTGTTTCATAGTGCTTAACACCATGAGAAACAAGGGCACGTGAAGAAACAGTTTTGTCCAGGAGAAATCTTCAGGCTAATAATTCTCAGAACTACTCAGTACTGCCGTCTGTTGAAAATGCTGGTTGACAGAGGAACGCACGACCCTGGTTTCCAAATGGTGCGCCAGGATTGATACAGGAAGGATGTGTGATGTATCAAGATGATGATGAAGAAAGAATGTTTCCTTGGTTCAGGATGGAGCAGGCCCAAGAGATTCATTTTGTCTGGTTTTGTTCTGCCTTAGATCCTTTAGGAGGATCCTGGGTGGATTACTCAGGGTAGGAAGATATTTGAGGAAAACTATCAATATTGGCCTAATCTTTTGCCGATTCCGAACAGCTTGTGTTAAGTGGAAATAACTGCTGTGAGTTTGTCAAGGCTCGCACGCATAGATTGGGTAACATTTGGAAGACGAAAGAGTTGGAACCACATACATATGGGAGAGGGAAGTTCAAGCTCGCGTGTCAGTGAGTGTTGAGCGGGACAAGAGGAGGCGTTTGGGAGACAAACTGCAGGGATTGGGGCTTGTGGTGGAATTGTCAAGAGTCAGAAGTATTATGGGCGTCTTCAGCTCAGTGGTGGGCTTCAGCCAAGTTTGTCATTCTGGGATGTTCCCCAAGGTAAAGTCAAAGTATAGTTTCCGCTTCTTTCAGGTGAAAAGGCAGTGCATAATACGGCAGTTATGTTCCTTCTGTAATACACTTCTAGCCAGTCAGAACTTAATCTTACTTTGTTAAAACTGACTTTAAATCCTACAGGCATGGTTTTTATGGAACACAGGATATAAATTATTATTAGTAATTTCTACTGCGGTTTACCTTAGCTAATAATCTACAGAATTTTTTTTTCCATTTTTTTAAAACAACTCTTGTTTAAAAGCAAATGAAAAAAAAAGAACGAACATCTGTACTGAGTATGTTTGCTTTCTCTTAACCTTTTCTCTATATAGTAAGCAATAGATTTACTATCCTCACTTTTTGATCAGTGATTTCTGTGGAATTGTAAAAAGCCTTTTATATCCACACTATATAGAGTATTTTGTAAGCTAACATTCTAGTAGTTTGAGTGACATGAATGTGTCTCTTGACAGTTTGCAGTACTACTCTTTGGGTAGGTCAAGTAGACAAGAAGGCTACACAGCAAGATCTAACAAACTTGTTTGAAGAATTTGGACAAATAGAGTCTATTAATGTAAGTAAGCGTGTTATCGTGCATTTTCAGGCATTACAGACTACCAACTTAAACATGCTTCTGTCTTTGAATTCCTTTTATCGTCTTAAACTTGTATTTAGGAGACTGTATATTTTATCACTGTTTAAAAACTATCTGTAATATTTGGTTGTCGGTTTCCGTGTGCAGTCTTTGGAAGCACTAAAGACTTCATGGCAAAATAACTTTTCCCAAGCACTAACAATTACACCATTTTTTTTAAAACAGGGTCTTAACAAATAAAAAGTTTTTTATTTCTCCTCTTGTGATGTGGCAAAGGGCAGGTATAATTTTTCCCTGAACTGATGGACACAAACTGATGTGTATCCACGTTGCTCTTGGTTACATTCCATACAGAGAAGGTTCTTCAAGTGGAATCAATGTGAATAAAACATTGAGAAGAAAAGAAATTGTACTGTAAACAAGTGTTCATTCTAAAATGTGACAGTTAAAAGACGTTTATAATTAGGAGATAAGTTTCTCATGATTTAGAGGAATTTAGAGTTGTACTTCAGTTTTGCCGATAATTCAGCTTCAAGTATTTTTCTCCTAAAGTAACATATTTACATGAGAGAAACTTGGATTTTCGTCTCTAGCACCAGCAGTTTTAGAGTGTTTCCCGTGCAATTTCATTCATTTCAGATAAAATTTTTACAATTTTTCCTAGCAAGTTTATATATTCAGATATTTAATTAATAAGGAACAGTTTTTGTGGCACTGCAGAGTCTTTTTAAAAGCTTTGCATGTCAAGAAAACCCCGTAGTCTGACATGTAAGCCTCGTTTTGATTTGCAGGGACTAGCAATAAAGTAAGTTCAGAGGAAAGTAATATAACAACTCTAGTGTCCCAGTGCCTGTTACATTTCAGAGGCAAACCATATTGTAAATAGTAAATATTGTAAATCTTAGCATTCCACAAAGGTTTAAGTGCATAGGATAGCATTAAAGCACACCTATCTTTTATAACTTTTGTCTGAAAGTTTTCACACTATTTGCAAACTTTCAAAGCTTTTGTGCCACATTGTGCTTTTCTTTCCTAAATAAAACATTAAAGCTAGTGGAAATCACACTTCAGGAATGAGTATGCAAGATACTTGTAGTCACTAGTTTGTAGCTCCGCGAAAGGTTGTTGCTCAGTTATGCTGAATTTGGAAGATAATAAGAGGTAGCAACCTCTGCTTTTCTGAAGTTATCATAGTATAGCTCCCAGTCCTTGCCTATGCCATGTTGTTCAAGTCTTTTAGGTCTTTTTTAGCACCCATTTTTTAGCTTGTTGCTGCTTGAAAATGTAACTGAAGTACCCTGTTAATATCACTGTTAAGTTTTGCTCATGCTCAGAATTGTTGTGCTGGCTTTAGTTGGGACTAGAGTTAATTTAATTCATTGCTGGCTGGGATTAATTAAACCATGACAATTGTTAATATTTCTGATTAAGGTAACGATAGTTTACAGCGTAAGCCTTTCCTTTTTTTTTGGTATGTAATCTGAAGTACTGTTCCTGCTTTTTAAGACCATTGTTTTTATTCCATAGATGATTCCCCCAAGAGGTTGTGCTTATGTCTGTATGGTTCATAGACAAGATGCGTATCGTGCACTTCAGAAACTTAGTTCTGGGTCCTATAAGATTGGGTCTAAAATTATTAAGGTAAGTTGATCTGAGTCTAAGGATGGTCCCCATTTCACATGCAGTACAGAATGAATATGATTTGTCCTTCAGCAGCTGTTCATTCAAACGTACAATGTGGAGAAGGAGAATGAAGCAATAAGGTGTAAATTGTTTTCTTTCCTCTCTGTGTAAAATGCAGCTTTTAGTGGGCAGTATGGAAGACAGTAAAGTGAAATTGTGACTTGACACCTAGGAGATACTGGGAGAACATTTTATATACGTGCTAGTGATAAGAGTACAGGATTGTAAGCAACCTAAGTCCTGTACCTGACCATGTGGCTCACTTAATATTACATTTGACAGTGTCGTGGTTTAACTCCGG